AATCATAATCACCGGAAGAAGAAGGTCACCATGAGTAAGTAGAAGATCCAATAAAAGAAACACTTCGGCTTCAAGAAGTCTGAAAACATCTCGAGTTCTCGAATCATAATACACCAAAAATTCTTCAAAAGAATAACCTGCTAAAAATGTGAAGCATTTGTAAAATGAAATCCGGATAAAAATAATGTGAGTCTAAAAACATGGTCTAGCATGCCAAAAATTTGATCCAAGGACCAAAAATAAGTGCCACGTCGCATTGCCAAAATTTAATATTCGTCTTCAACATATCACAAATCCAAACTCGTGAAACCATAAGAACCGAGTCAGATGTGAACACAAAATCATCCCGTGGTAGAGTTCGAATAATAAATAATTGAATTAGAAAACATCGATTAATGCTAAAAATTTGATCCGTGAAGACCAAAAAGAAGTGCCACATCGCATCACTAAATAAATAATCGTCTTCAAAAGTCTTCAAAAATCCAAACTCAAACAATCATAATAACCAAATCCGGATGATATTCTCTCCCTATTTTTGATAACCAATGACCGTATATCAAAAATCAACAAATCATCGGATGGAGAGTGTCGGATACCAAGAGCTAATAGAGAAGCTCTCCTTAGATGTATGAAGGGTCTCGATAAGAAATGAGACAGAGTAAAAGAGATACTCTTGCGGTCATGAGGAGGCGGGTGACATAGTTGCTAAAGTTGTGCTGAGAATAATCTGTTGTGCCAAATATATATATATATATATATATATATATATATATATATATATATATATATATAATATATATATATTATATATATATATATATATATCCAAGTATCCAAACTGCGGTGCCGGAACACTTGAAGTGGCCTTTAATAAAGAGTAAAGTCCACATGCTCAAGATACATGATTCGTCAACCAAAAATCATAAGCAACAAGTCATAAATCCCATAATGTGAAGAATGCGAAACAACTTTGTTGATCAATCGCCGTTGCGGTGCAAGCATCACAAAAATAATATGAAGTCCGACTGCGGTAGGAATATTCTTCCAATAATAACCGGCCTGAAATGAATCAATGTGACAATCCATGAGTAGGTGGTGGCAAAAATTGGTGTTAAAAATAATAATTGGTTTTAATAAAAATTGGTTATAATAAAAAAATTGCTAAATAAAAAAATTGGTGTTAAAAAAAAAATTGGCAAAAAAAAAAATTGGCTAAAAAAAATAATTGAAGTAAAAAAAATAATGTAGAAAAAAACTGAATAATAAAAAAAATAAAGTAAAAAAAAGAGGTTTAAAAAAAAGAAGGGAAAAAGGAGGGGAGGGGAAGAAAAAAAGGAGGGAAGGAGGGGGAGGAGGAGGAGGAGGAGGGCTAAAGGAAGAAGGGGGGGAGGGGGGGAGGTCTGGGCGAAGAAGGAGGAGGGGAGGGAGGAAATCCGAAGGCAGAAGGGTTGCGGGTCTAGGGAAGTTGCGGATGAGAAAGGGTGGCGTGTCAGGGGAGATGGCTTCGGATGGAGCTTGGTTGTGGATGCACTGATTTAGTTGCGGGCGCACGGAAGGCGTGACTGCGGATGCGAGGTAACAACTAAGCTGCGGTAAGAAGAAGGTGATTGTGAATGGTGCTGACTGAGGTGCGAGGACTTCGGTCCGAGGCTGCGGTCTGAGAGAAATCCGCAAGGGGGGACTTCGGTAAGCAGACTGCGGTCAACAGGCTATGAGGGAAGGCTTCGGATCCTCAGCCAGGAAGAAGGGAAGGCTACGGTCCTAGGCCTGAGAGGGGTTGCGGACCAATGTCTGAGAGGGGTTGCGGGGAGGCTTCTTAGGAGGCTCCGGTAGAAAGTTTTTGGCTGCGGTTCTGGGCTCCGAGAAGGGCTGAATAGGTGACGAAAATGCTATTTTTTCATGAAAAATGGTACCGCAAAGGCCATTTATTTATATTTGATTCAGGGGAATATTTTTTAACGCATTTTAAGTCAACAAGTGGGTATTGGGAAGACAAAAAGAGAGTGTGCAGGTGGGTTTTAGGGACAAAAGGTGATGAGATTGGACAACGCTATATGGTTTTTTGTCTTTTGATGGAGCAAATAGTGGAGTACTCTTTACACAAAAGAGTAACAAGGACAAGATGCTTTATGCCAACACTTAAACACGTCCATATACACTAATTTGAAGATTCACATCAACAAGTAAAAGGTAGAATGTATGAATATCATACCTTTTTGATGATCATAATAAACATGCTGTAGAAAAAAAATCTTCTAGAAAAAGTACTTTCCTCCATTATCTTCAAGAATAATAAGCCCATAATTTTTGTGTCTCATTTCCAAGGCATAAATAAAATGCCTGGAGCACATCTTCAACTTTTTGGAGACCACAAAATTAATTTATCCTCCCATTTTTCTTCATTTCTTCAACAACAAAAAAATAATAACTTTTAAGAACATCTTTTTTCCAGCAATAAATAGAACGAGCAGCAGCAACATTTTATTTTTACTAAGATAGAACTAAGAATGAACTCATAAAAAAAATTCCGGTAAGAAGCCCATTTTTTTTTCTTGCAAAAACATGGAAAAATCACAAGATAATCACCGAATGGGAGTCGTTCCCTTGAACTAATCGTGAGATCTTCAAGGTACGACTCTGATACCAATTGTAGAGACCCATTTTTTATAACAAACAATGAGTGCGGAAGTAAGATATCTCGAGATTAATCGTGTTTTTGGAAGTATGAACACAAAGAACATATTATGAGTTCATGAAAAAGACTAAGAACAAGAGAGAATAATAATATTAATGAAACATGAAGAACATGGTGGGAGAGAAACTCTCCCTCGGTGGGAGAACCCACCACTTTCTCTCTCTAGATTACATTGTGAGAAGTAAAGTAATCTCTAAGAAAAGTAAAGTGAGCTAGCTAAAGTAAATAATATCCAACTCTCCTTTTATATAGGAGGGAGAGATAAACACCAACAATACAAATAAAGGGAAAATACAACATAACTATCACTCATTATTTGTGGAGCATTTCCATGCACCAACAAGTGGTGAGATAAATGAATTATTTTAAAAATAAATTAGGATGATGGTGGTGTATTCCAAAAAAAAAAGAATCATTCCAATAACAATGAATTAAAAATATTAACTAAAAGAAATTAATAATCCAATAAAATCATAATTATTAATATATAAACATTATAAATTATAAATAATATTTATTAATATATAATAATTCAATAAAAAACAATTAATCCATAAAAAAGGTAATTAAAAAAATAATTATTTAAAAGAAATTAATAATCTAATAAAATAATATTTATTAATACATAAATACTATATATTAAAAATAAAATTTATTGATATATAATAATCCAGTAAAAAAGTAATAATACAATAAAAAAGAAATTTAGAAAAATTATTTAAAAGACATTAATAATTTGAGAAAAAAAATATACGAGGTTTGGGACACAATTGTCTTTCCACCCCATTCATCACGAAAAATATGATTTTGCGGCTTTTTAGGAAACACATATCTTACCGGAAAAGACCAATTTTTTTTATTTATTAGGGAGTCATATTTGTGAATATATTTCTTACTTTAATGTGAGGTTAAAGCCTTAATATATATATATATATATATATATATATATATATATATATATATATATATATATATATATATATATATATATATAACATTACATAAAAGAGAAACTAGACAAAATGAGTACTTTCAGCACTAAGGAAACCTTATTCTATGTATGTACATAAGATTAAATGGGCCGGTTGGTTCTGACACTCCCCCTTAAGTTGAAACATTGATGTTAATCATGTTCACTTTGTTACAAATATAAGTGATTCGATTCCCAAGTAGCGCTTTGGTTAATACATCAACGAGCAGACTTCTGTTTCTAATGTGAGGTGTGGTGGTGGTTTCATCTTCAACCTTCTCACGAGTAAAGTGGCAATCTACTTCAATCCGGTGCCACTGTGTTGCCGGACCTTGTGGTGGCACGAGAGTGGTTGACTTCTCACCATATTTGACTTCTTTATATTGATTGGATTTACTAGTGAGGGAGATGATTGGTGTTGTATGAAAAAGGCAATAGTTGATATTCTTGGTAGTTATGTTTAAATGTACTTTGTTTGTACTATTGTGTTTTGTTTGAATGACATAGAGCCTTTTTAGTAATTCTTAATTGAGTCATTTATCGAATTCTAAATCGATATGCAATATCAAAAATAGCAAAGAATTTTTTTTTTTAACAAGTAATAGTGACCGAAAAGTATTTTTTTGCCAATCATGCAAAGTGAAGGGTTTTCTAAAATAATTTACATGTGATAGGGAATTAAAGGTTTGTTTGGTGAACTTACCGATGACTTGAATGTGGACATTGTTAACTACGACAATCAAACTATAAATTTTCTTTCGACATGAAATGTTCCATGATCGTGCAAAGCACGTTGATGTATGTTATCATTTTTTTGTGAGGAATTATTGCTAAAGGAGTTTTCAAGGTGAGCATAATTGCTATCCATGACAATCTGGGGAATAAGATGACAAAAGTTATTCCTACGAGTAAATTTTGATTTGTTTACAAGTTTAGTCGGTATCCGCTATTCAAACTTCAAGTAGTTGGTAGGCATTCAGTAAAGGAGACTAGAATAATCATTTTACTTTTGAAGAGGTCAATATGTGTTTCCTAGTTGATTGATGCATTGATGAAGTTTTGTTATGCTTTTGGGCAATGATTATTTATTTTGAAAACAAAGTGTAGAGATTTGTTAAGTAGTGGTCCGCACAAAACTCAAGATCTTATAATTCAATGTATTTGAATCTGTATGACCGTACGA